GGAGGGGAAAAGACGAAAAGTTGTGGATAAGGCCTTGTACCTTTTAAGCTTGTGCTGACTAGATAACACTTGGGACTCGGGAGTTGGGGGCTTATCTTCTCCCTTATTTGCTTGCCTTTGCCTTTATTGGGTGTAAATTTCTGGTTGGCCACTCAGCACACAGCTTTATCATTCATAGCTGTTTGATAAGTCATCGCTTTTCTCGTGGTCGTTAGGTTTACCAAAAATATCATTTTAAAATATCATCTATGCAGGCCAGCGTTTTGGGTTGGCATTTCAGGCCCAGTCAATGTGGGTATTGTCCGTCTCTTGCTTCAGCCTTTAAGCCCATAAATGTCCACTAATTTGAAAAAATTAAAAAAATTACTAAATTATTTAAAAATGTTTATATTTATTTTTTTAAAATAAATTTTCTCACTTATAAATTGACATATAATATAATAATACATATAAATATTTTAGAAAGATCATGTAATATATGCTTTTAACTAAGTAATTTAGTAACTTTTTTAATCTTATCAAATTAATAAACTAACTTTTATATTAAAGTATATATTAAAACAAGAATATGAGTGGATTATTTTCAAAAAAATGTGGTTAAAATTTTTTAGTTAATTTTTTGTTCTCTTTTACCTTACATTTTCATTTTATCAAAATTTTACAGCCCTAGTTTTTCGATTCTTAAATTGAATTCATTAAAATTTTACTTTCCCTCCCTTCCATTTCTCTCATTCTTATAAAAAAAATATGATTTAATATAAAATATATTAAAAAAAATACCATACAAATTAAATATAGCAATTGAGCTTTTTCTTCAAAAAAAATTCTTATTGATGTGCAATGAGATGGGATCTTTAATTTTTGTTTTGGTTTAATTTTTATGAGATTGAATATATATGCCTACAAGCTCTCTAACTTTTTCATCGGATGACTATTGAGTTGAAAATTGATTTACATTATATAGAATACAAATCAAAGAGGTTAAACTGATAAGTGATAACTAATTAACTAAGTTCTAAAACACGCAGTTCAATTTTTCTTGTTAAAATCCTATTTAAACTCATTTTTCATCGTTGTATTTAAAGTGTTCCAAAGGAAAACCTACAAGCTCTCTTGTTTTTAAAACCTTGTGATTATGCAAATAAGATTTTATGATGAAATCCTTTTCGCAATTATGTCTTACGTATGGGTAGATTTTGGTTGGCACGGGCATTACAAGGACTTAATAAAAAGAATCAAAATGATGAGTACTGCAGGTTGGTGTGATTACAAAAAAGCACGGAAATTAATTAATCCATGTAATGCTTAGTTTGGTAATAATTAAAGGACTACGTGGATCATTCCAAATCCAATTTGATATTAATAAATATTAGTTCAAGTGGATCAATATTGACTGGGATCCCATTGATAAATTAAAGTTGCATAAATAATGTGGAAGAGGAAAACACGTGAGATTCCTCCATAAATTATTTATAAATATTTTAAACTGATGTGGCAATCGACAAAGCATATCAAACTCTCCATTGATAGAAACTACCTAGACTCTTCTCTTCTCTTTTTCCTTAAAGAAATGAAGAAATAAAAATAATAAAACAAGGAAGGTTCAGAAACTTGGAAGTAAAGAATATAGATAGTGTATTATAGTAATGTATAATTATAGGGCTACCCATGCACATGCAAATGTTTATATTTAGAGGAACAGAGATGACACTACTTTCCAACAAATTAAATATAAATATAGTGCTGAATTGTTTAGTATAAACGAAATGAGGTACAAGATCCTCATATTCCGGAACTTCAAAATCAAAAAAAGATATGTAGGCTAAGCACATCAAAATCTTTGATGCTTGTTTGTGTAATCGTGTCCCTTTGGTTAAGATTATTGGATTATTTGCTTATTTAGTTTTCTTTTTCTTTTTGGCTAGACACACAATCTTATTCAAAATATCATTGGGCATTAAATATAGATATATCTCCCAGTGAGAATTCGAATTTTGATTTGTCATATTATTAAAAATTAGCCTATTTTAATAGACTCTCAAGTGTGGTTGGTTGCTCATTCTAGTCATACACTATCTTTCTTATCTGTTAGGCCACATCTCATATCTGTATTGATCGATCCAGCCTCATGCTTCATTTCATTCGCACATTATGATACTGTTCTAATATACAAACAAGGGCAGTAGCACATCGGACGCTCTCATATCATGTGAATCTATGCCCTTCTCAACTTACTGGGCAGGGGAATTGTGTTACTTACGCTTGTTAAAACTAGGGCTGTTCACGGGACGGATCGGGATCGGGACAGGCCCGTCCCGGTTCCGTCCGATGAACAGTAACGGGACAGATTTTCTGTCTCATGTCCCGGCTTCTCTCGGGGTTGTCCCGGTCCTGGTCGGGACAGGACGGGACCGGGACGTCTAGAAAATATTTTTTAAAAATTTTTTTAAATTTTTCTAAAAAAATCTGATTTTTTTAATTATATTTTTTTGAGCTTAAATCTTATAAAAACATCTTTTTATTTTCTTTTTTATTTGTTTGGGCACTCTTAAACAAAAGCTCAAAATATTACATACAATAGCCATTAAAAACTCTAAACAAAAGCTTTTAACACAATAAAAACTTGCTAAAAATTCTAATCATCAATAATATCAAATCATTAACAAATATAAAAACTCTAAATAAATATATCCAAAATTCCATACAATAGTCTCAAATCTTAAAAAAATATGAAAAAAAATGATATTATATAAATAGGATAAAAAATTAAAAAAATTAAATTAAAAAAAAGGGACCGGGACGGGACGACCCTGTCCCGGTTTGTCCTGTCCCGAAAAATTTCGAGACGGATCCGTCCCGTCCCAATAAGACTGGAACCGGAACAAGCCGGTCTTGAACACCTCTAGTTAAAACATATATAAGACACAAGAAATAAGATGGGGTCTTCTTAATTCAGTACAGTACAATAATGAGCCAAATTCATAAATAGCGCTCTCTGATCAGCTAGGGATGTGTCTCATTGATGATCCCAATATACGTCCAGTATGGGCAAGTGGGCCATAATTTAATCCTCTCGTCCAAAACTTCACACGCATATCAAAATGTCACGTCACTGCTACAAAAAGAATCATTTACGTCTTCCATTTACGTTTGTTTTAGAAAACAGGGGAGAAAACACAATTACTTTCGTTTGAGAGACGAATATACTCTAATGTACTCTAGGCATTTCGTCACTAATATTATTCCAGTTCATTTCCACGTATTCCGCTTTAGAATACATATAGTTCCTGCAAAATTGAAGGTCTGCGTAGAATTACTTACCACTAGAAGAAAGTTCATCAGCATCGGTTATACTTGGCTTCTAATGACAGTTAAAAGGGAAACGTGGATATGAGTGACATAGTTTTAAAGACGTTGTACGATGGTTATAATTAATAACTGTTGTGGATTGTTCACAAAACAACGACATTTACCTACGGTAAATGTTGTTGATTAATTTCTCCATGATGGTTACTAAAATAACCGATATAAAAAATATGGATACGTATACACACACAATTCATTTGGTTTACAAGCCTCCCTGTAATTGTAGAGTTTATAGGTAGTAATAATTAAATATCAGATCAGTCCAGAACCAAATTCCTATACAAAGCTAATTCAATACTAAATCTTAAAAGCAAGTCCTATACAAAACCAATTCAAATGCTAATTTTTAAATGGCCTAATGTTAAAAACAAGTCCTAGACAAGTTGCAGTTATAAAAGCATCACGTAAAATGCAAAAGCAATTCACCAATTAACTACTGTGTTAATTAATTAGTGCTCTTAAATTTAACAATGTTTCGCCTGCTCTTTTCATTATTTGCCGTGCCTACAAGACTTACTTTGTCCTACAAAAATATCTTCTATATAAGATAGATATCATGCATCAAGCAAATTTAAAGCTTATATACATAGTTTTACTCAATTCTTTCCAACTAAGTTATTGATAATTTAAGAGAGAATTACAATAAGATCCTAAAAAAGAAAAATAATTTCAAAACCCGGTCTTAGAAGTTGTTATTTTCTATTATGAAATTTGTCATTACAGACAGTTTATGTTGTTATTAAAAAATTTTAATAATTATTTTTCTTCCTTTAGATTTCATTGTAATTCTCTCATAATTTAATTATATGCTTTTGGGGACTCTAACGATTTAAATTTATGTTCAATATATATGCACACAAGACAGGTGTCGATATAATACCTCCTCAGAATCCATATGACTTTTTAAATACTCACAGAATACGTGAAGAAGTCAATGTTAGTAGTCCTAGCTAGCTATATATTAACTTCGTAGCGTAGATATATGTTTCGTAAAAAGATCTGACAGTTAACTACTCTTGTCACCGGAAATGTATAAAAGGAAATTGCACGTTCATCAAAGGTGGGTCGCTTGTATTAGTTATTAATGATGTCTTTAACTGTATTAACCGATTCAATTGAAACATAAAGTCTCATCTTTGTTTCATGAAAAAGTGAAAGTGGATGAAACCCAAGAGAAGCCAACCAAAACTGACAAATTTTTTGAACCATCCAATGAGAGATAAAGATATGAGCAAGGCTTGCATGAAGGAAGAAGGAAGGAAAGTGAAGAAAAGATTAAAAAATTGCATGAGCAAACAATTGTTCACACTCGTCTTCTAACTCACGAGGAGGCATGTAATTGATCCAATATCATAAGCGTGAGACGCGTAATGTGCATAACAAAGGGCACAGAATGCTTATGTGTATGCAAAGTGTAAACTGAGGTAAACAATACTTCACGGGAAAGCAACTTACAGCATTTAATATACCGACCAACTTGCTTAGTTTCCTTTCCCTTTTTCTTTTTGTTAGCACTCTAACTTTGTTTCTTCTCGTATGTGTATGTGTGTATAAATACGGGATAGAGAGAGACAGTTTTCATTCGTGCGCCTAAGAAAAGGAGATTCAGAGGAAAACAAAGGCAGGACCAGAAGATGTCTCACATAGCTGTCGAGAGGAACAGGAGAAGACAGATGAACGAGCATCTCAAAGTTTTAAGGTCTTTGACCCCTTGCTTCTATATCAAAAGGGTACATATACTATTATTCTCTCCCCTCTGATCTCTCTTCCTCTTCTTCTTCTTCTCTGTGCGTGTGTTTCTATATGATCAGCGATTATCAGTTATCAAGCATTTTCTGATGAATTTTTCAACATTCACCAAGATTAATACGAACCAAAATAAGTTATATATGTTGTTTTCTAAATTGAAATCTTGATTATGATGAGCATCGAACTAATTTTTGTATCAGTTAGTCCCGTAAAAGAACAGATGTGATAATAAGACCCAATTGAACTTAAGCCCTCAACATGGGTCACTGCTTATCAATATGTGAGCTTTGTTTGTGAAAGAGTTTGTTGGATAACAAAAGAAGATCAGCAAGTCCTCTCTCCACATACATATAGGTTTATTATTGATCGATGACCTAATTAAAACTTTTGTTTAATAATCAAACATGTATAAAGAAAAACAGAAACGTAACTCACATGTAACTTGGTTTTTTATCACAGGATTGTTGATCCATGAGCATATTTATATTTGTTTTATTTTTTCTCGTTTGGTGCTATTTAATTAGGGAGACCAAGCATCGATAATAGGGGGAGTAATAGAGTTCATCAAGGAGTTACACCAAGTTCTGGAAGTTCTGGAATCGAAGAAAAGAAGAAAGAGCGTAAGCCCTAGCCCAAGAACACCACTGCCACCACCAGCAACCTTTAATCAAGCGGACCATAGCCCCTTGAAGGAAGAAGTTGGAGCAGCAAGCTGTAATTCTTCAGTTGCAGATGTGCAAGTGAAAATCTCAGGTTCAAACGTGAATCTTAGAGTGATTTGCCACAGAATTCCAGGTCAAGTTTCAAAGATAATCAGCGTTCTTGAAAGGCTATCTTTTGAGGTCCTTCATCTCAATATCAGTAGCATGGATGATACAGTTCTATACCACTTCGTTGTCAAGGTGCGTGCGTAAACCAAAAACAAACGTAATAGCTCCATCCAGTTCTTGGATGATTTCTGTTCAGATACATAATACTGCAATATCAATTCATCAGATTCAATTCACTGTAAATTTGATAACCCATTTTAAGCAACTCAAATTAAAAGAAGTAGGTCATGAGAGAATCGCCCACTTTCTCTTCTTTGATTTCAAACTAAATTTATGCTTTTCAATAAAGTAATAATGATACACAACTGCTTACTACTCAATAAGCTAATCATATGAAACCAAATGTGGTATAATTGTGAAGAGCCGCATTGCTTTTATTTATCTACATGTTCATGACCGTCACTATTTTATATATGGAACTTTTCTCCCTTGGAACTCCTTCACTTTTAACGCGTTTAAACTCGGACTAGGTTATATTTTTTAATGATGTTTCCTGCGTACATATATGTTTGTCTATCGGTTTGGATATAGACTTCAAAGTCACCAGTATTTCATAACAATAATGACGTATTATTTACATGCAGTACTGATGAAGTATGATTCTCATATATGCAGATAGGGTTGGAGTGCCAGTTAAGTCTGGAGGAACTAGCAATGGGAGTACAGCAAACTTTCTGCGATCAGAAGCTGTAAGTAGCTCATCAGTGTGATATATATATATATATATATATATATATTAGCACTTGGATTTGGGAAGAGACTTAACAACATATAATTTTACCATATCTCTATTTCTTCAGCGTTCTTACTTTATATATAACTTATGTATCGACCTTGAAGCCCATAAAATGGATTTATATGACTTCTCTGCTATCAGCATCAACTAATTAACATCATAGTTTGTCATTTGGGTGGTTCTTTCTGGTAACTGCTCGAACAGTTATACCACCATCGAAATTAAAGAGAAGCCCTCACACTACAGAATTTAGGTAATTTCACTGCAAAAGTTACGGAGAGGCTTCACAGTTAACTGAAAATTTGCAAATTTCGGGGGGTATTTTTGTCTCATCTCCTCCTTATTTTAAAGCAATCACTAATTTTTTTAGCCGAAAGGAGTAATGAATGACCATGAATAAAACACCGAAACAAGGCCCAAGGCTAAACCAAGAGAAATAAAAGTACAATAAGATACGTTTGGGTCAATCAGGTTCGGAAAATCTCAGCAATGGTGTGCGAGAGACCATCTCATCACTTTTGATAACACCTATATATAGCTTTCTTTGAAAACAGAAATAAAAACTAAAAGAAGCAGAATTATTAATTACTGGATTCATCATGCAGCAAATTAAATAGATAAGTGAGAATGAAGGCTCTTTACTGATGATCTGCATGGTCAGGCCTTATAGTCGTACGCACGTTCAAGGTAGCTAGTTAGTTAGTGTATGTTTAACCTTAATTAGTGTCAGCTACGTACGCATGTGGTCACCTTAGTTCATGGTTGTGTTGGTCTAATCTTCATCTCAACAACATTATGGTTCGAGATGCGCATCTCCTTTGTTTCGAGCTCCCAGTTTTTAATTTCCTGGTTTGGTTTCTACTGTGTTGTTGTTTGGTTTTCACATGATCACTGGGCTTCTTATTGTTTATCTGGGTTACTCATGCAAGGAGACTCATTAACTTGTGTATCATTTTGCTTGTTCTTTTTAAAATAAATTTTTCCAGTGATCATATTGGCATGCATATCGTTTGGGAGGAAATTAAGATAGTCCTCCGGTCCTTAATATAGGACCCAATTCTTGAGTTGGTTTTGGTCCTAAATATAAGACCCATTTCTCATATTTATCATTTTTCTCTAAATTACCCCTATGGATACCCTCAACTATAATCAAGTAGAAGAGGGAGAGAGGGTATTAAAAAAGATGATTATGGTATTTTAGGAAAAATGTGTCATTTTTCTTATAATTAACTAACTTACCTAACTTCCTTAATCTAATCAAATTAGTTAAATGGATCTTATATTAAGAACCGGAGGAGTATTAAGTACTCAATGTGAATATTTCTCAAAGAATCAAACCTTGATTCGCGCGTTAGGAAACTAAGCCCCCAATTAGTTATCACTTATAACATTCCATCCTCTTCCTACGAATATAATTATTACTGCTTTCGGCTGGGCCCCATCTCGTTGGAAAATCTATTATATACATGTATGTGTGTGTGAGATTACAATATTACTCCTTCGGAACTTGGGCCCTCATCTCAGTGAACTTTTTGAAGTAGTGGTCGTTTTCAAATATATTTGGATTGGATGTGCTACTTCTGATTTGATTTATTACCGGTTCTTAGATTGGTCTGATGATGATGAATCTTGAGTTCATGCCACATCCAACTCGATCCACTGTGATTGGTTAATATCTTGCAAAGGGTTAATAAAGTGAGCTTCCTTGGACTTTTAATACTCTTCCGGTTCTAAATATAAAACCTTTATATAATATATATAAGGGTCTTATATTTAAATTTGGATGAGTAATTTGTGAGATATCCGATAAGATATACGCGGGTTTAGTTTCATTAGTTCTAATTTGTTCCGATTAATATTAGGTGTTATGAAATTTTTATATTTTAATAATTTTTTATACTAAATAGATGTAAAATCTAAATTGAAAATAAACTTTAGATTGTTAATTTATTAAAAATTAAACTATTTATTTAAAAATTATAAGTTTTAGATAATAAAAATTTAAGTTAAATAATTTAGAGTGCTCATATTTTGTTTAAGAGTGAAAATAGGTCAAACTTGCCTCTTATTTACTTCACTATTTACTAAACAAGTATTTTGTTATGGACAATCCTTTCTTCAAATTCTTTACATTTATTATGTTAAGTTCTTTAATTAAACATAGCCATATTTCTATTTTTGAAATATTATCATTTAATTATAAGCTTGTATGAGAAAAAATTCCACCTAAGCATCATACGTGATTGGAAAACTTAATATAATGAATATAATGAATTTGAACTAAGTAGTTTCCTCTTTGGTTAAAAGTCAAAATTCTGGTCAAGTTAGTGGTTTTTCAAGTCAAAGTTTAATTTGGATATTTAATCACAGGTGTTCTTATACTAGAAATAATCTTATTTGAGATACTAAGTGATATTAAATATGAATATATCTCTTAACAAAAATTTAATTAATACTTGGTTTGGCATTACTAACTGTGCAAATTTACCTTGAAAGTTTTCACTCAAAATGTTACAATTGCAAAAGTTTTTTTAAGTGTAAATTTGTACCAAAAATTTAAAATCATAGCAACATTATATTATCTCATACTGTTAAAAATCTAATGTTGATCCTTAAAATAGTAATGTTAATTATTAACATTTTTAATGATAATGAGCAATATTGTTATGATTTTAAAATTTTTGAACAAATTTGCTTCCAAAACACTTTCAGGTACCTAGTGTTTCTGAACAAAAATTTTTGAATAAATTTTCACCATAACTCATTCCCATTCATTGAAAAAAATTGGAATTGATGATAAGATTGGAGAGGGTTTGGAAACAGGGGCCCAGATGAAAATTAGCGAGTTTCAATGGGGTCACATTAAAATTTTAGAACTATAATATTATGTTATATGAATGAGCCCAACAAAAGAAAGCGTAAAGAGCCTTCAGTTCACCTGCACCATCAACACTCAACAGAAAGCCAATCCAGGTTCCACCACAAACTAAACGAGGGTGTCTTCCCAGCTTAGCAAATCCCAGTGAGGAGGCTGGAATCTGGTGCTCTGGTGCTCAGTTGAAGAAAAGAGCGGAGCACTTTTGGCCTTTCGGTAGCGACTGCGTCGTGGGGCCCGCACTCATCAAATAAGGACTGCGTGATTAGATGGATGTATTTGAACACTGGGAGGACCCCACTTCCATCATAGTCATCGTGTGAAAGTATCCGGGAGTGGGCCCCACAACACGCTGTTCTGATCACATGATTCTCCAACCTCACCGAAATTCCTCCTCCCAGAGTGTCAAGACCGTTAGATCTCCTTGTCTCCTTCTCCCGTCCTAATCTGCGTCCGTAAGTTGAAAGTTTGATTTAATCCCGTTGTAATCTCAAACCATTAGCACCCATTTTCCTCTTTTTTTTTAAAAAAAATTCCCTTTTTATTTATTTTCTTCCAAAAAAGTTTAATACAAGATCATTCAAGTGATTTCTCATTCTCTATTTATTTTCCTTATGTGTTTAATTCCACATCAATGTTAGTGACATGAAAGCTTTCTTATACATGAAAGGTTATTGTAATTTCATTCTATTGATGTATGTTCTTTAGTTTCAAAAAAAAAATATTTACTAAAAATAGTGATAATGCAAACATAGGCAAAAGTATATGATTGAAAACAGAAGTCACGTGTAATGAAAGAAGACATTACTGTCAACTAGTAAACCAAGCTTGCTTGCAAATTTGTGTTTCGTCTCTTCATATACATATTATATATATATATATATATATTATATACAGCTCTTTAAATTAATTACTCCTCTAGTCCTAAATATAAGACCCTTATATTAAATCATGTTGATTGGTAGATTAATGGGTGTGGAGAGAAGCCCACAAAACACTAAGAAGATAGCACAAAAACTGTTTTTGAGTATTGAAGTCTCATCGAGGGAGTTTAATCTTTGAATATCCCTCTCATTGCTTTGTGTGCCACTGACTAATCATTCATTATTATTATTATTATTATATATTATGATGATGTTATATAGTAGTGAGCGAGTAAGACTAGTTGGGACATTATGTTTGAGCTGTTAGTGGAGAGCAACAAGTACGAAAGAGTTGATCATGTTTGTAACCTCGTATTGTTAGTATTATCCGTCTAATTCAAAAAAAGAAGGAAAAAAGAGCTAGCAAAAGAGAGGGAGGAGGAGGAAGCCTCTTATGAAAAATATTTTATTCATGTTTCGAACATTATAATTGCATATGCGCCCATGTCTATTACACTTCTTTATCACGGTTGTTCGATCTCATATCATCTCCCCTCTTAAACTCTTTCTCCCCACATTCTTAACCTGTAAAATTACTTCTTCTATGATCATAATATTACTTATAAATCCTAGCTTGGATTAAAAGGGAAAAAAAATTAAAAACTTAGGAAAATAATCAAACTAAACTCTACTAGAGACTTTTTCTGTATGTATGCTGCCAGACAGACATCAGCATCGCATCCACAACCATCACACATCATCAGATCCTTCACCGTCACATGATGTTGCAGCTTGAGGTGTTTCGTTGATCGTGAAGAAGTGGGTGTAGGGATCTTGTGGTGGCGGAGGAGGGATATGGGTATGGGTACTGTTGAGGGTACATGTAGTTGACGGCCGGCGGTGGTCGAGCATACATCATTGGCTGGAATCTCTTATCATTCCCACCTGCCATTCCCATTGCCTTCTGCTGGTTCATCATTGCTGCCATGTACTGTTGGTGTTGGAATGGGTTCCCTGCCATGGATTCTGGACCTAACCCTTGGGAGTATCCTGCGGTGTCGCCACCGCTGCCTCCTCCTCCGCTGTTCATGCCCCTAGCCAGGAGGCCTTGGACTGTCGGAATGTTACCCATTGGTGTGTTCATGTTACCTATGGGACCTGTGTTGCCTCCGCTCATGTTCGGATGATGACCACCCATCGCCTTCACAGCTTGAACCCC